CTGTTCAACAAAATAATAAGGTTTCTTTTGTTTTTTGTTCAACAGAAGATCTCCAAAAGATGCCGCTTGGCAAACTGAGCTTTTTGCATACGTTATTTCTCGAGAACGAAGAGCGCCCCAGCCAAAAAAAATTCAGAGCAATGTTTCTCAGGTACAACGAAGCCTACATGCCAAAATTCAGCTATTTTTGAACACTTTCAAAATGGCCAAAAAATCTAGGGGACGTTCTTGCACGCGGCCTTTCAATTGTACACTGCATTGATCTCTACAGTGCTATGTAATATAGGTAAAATTGATCAAAAAACTTAAGGAAAGGAAAGTGAACGAAGCTTTTTTTCTGGCAAATTCTCAGATTTGGAAACAAAGCACTAGGAAAGAGGTTGTGACCAATAATGATTCCAGAACATTCCTTTGGGACTGGAAAATGTGTGCAATTTTACATCTTCAGAAATCTCTAGGATATCATCATAAGTGTTGCAAGATCTAATGAGTCATGCTTAGTTGAGAATTTCAAAATTTTGGTCAGATTTTCATGGAAAGTCTAGGCAACAAGTAAGAACCAAACAACAATTACACAGATTAAAACTTGGACTAGAAGACCACACAGGTGACACCCTCCCTCCCCTCCCTGGCACTGATGGTCCACAAATGCCACTGACCTGCTGATTTTTCATGTCCACCACCGTCATATTTGAGTTGTCCATGTAAAATCCAAAATGGCTGCAATAATGAAACAAAAAACTCATAACTCATAATCCCAATGGCATTATAGATGTAAACTTTGATCAAAAGATCCCAAATCTGGAGACTGCCAGTTAAATTGACCACCTAATCTGCCATATGGTCAAATTCAAGTCCCCTCTGACTAAAAAAGATGTCTTTTTTCTACATGTATGTTGGTGGCTGATGAAGTGGCCTAAAAGCATGCTGAATACCAGCTCAAGCTCAAGGGCTAGCGAAGTAGCAGGGGTCATTGTGTCCATTATCTAGGGTTCTTGGGCAAGATGTGTGAAGGTACAGTGGCCTCTTGGTTAGTGCTGAACTCCAGATCTAGCAGTCTGGGTTTGAGCCCTGGCTGGGGACCTTGTGTTGAGGGTCTCCATGAGGTATAGCCCTAGTCAGTAAACAGCTAAAAATAAGCCATTTAGTCAGTGAACTGTTTGAATTAATGATAGTAACTAACCAGTAGATTAATGGAGATTAGTCTGGCAGCTAATTTGTATGATTTTAAGATTGTTATGAGCTTTGGATGACCTTCGTTTGCAAAATAAATCATGATTGAGACAAAGTCAGTTTTGGAATCATTAAAAATGACGTAATTTGGAGGCACATGGTCTCATGGTTAGTGTCCTTGACTTTGGATCGGGCTTGGGCAAGACACTTTACTCTTACAGTGCCAAATGGGTACAGATGGCGAATGGGTACCGGCGAATTTAATGCTGGGAGTAACCCTGCGGTGGACTAACATCCCATCTAGGGGGAGTAAAAGTATTCCTAGTCCCTTCATGCTACAGAAACTGGGATAAGCTCTGGCCTGGGAGGACCCCTTGGCTCATATGCAGACTTATGTACCTGCCTATTGCACCATTAGTATAATGCCATGGACTCCTATGTGTGTTATTTAAGACTGTTATAATATCATTAATGTTTTAGCCAAAATGGCACACTGAACACTAAAAGTAAGTTAAATTTCTGTGATAATTTGTTCCTGTAGTTGATCTTACCAGGCAAAAAAATTTTGGTTTAAAGTAAATTTCATGTGATATGTGCTATGTGGGTATGTGCGGCCTAAAAGGGTATAGTTTTTTCAGCCATTTTGGTCATAAACAGGGTACTGATTTTGGCCATTTTGGCCATAAATAGGGCATGGTTTTTGCACTCTAGTCTTGAATTGGGTATGGCTTTTAGAAGAGGCTACTTTTTCATCATTCAGTTATTAATAAGACCATAACAAAAGCCCTTCACAATGCCTTTAACATCAGTCTGAACTAGGCAACTAATTCTAAGGCAGGTCTAAAACAGGGTATCGATTAAGGGTCAGGTCATAAATAGAGTATCAATTTTTTTTGGTCAGATCATAGATAGGGTAGGGAAAATCACAGATTTTGGTCATAAATAGGGTAAGAGTTTTGGGATGCTGGCCCCACACTGCCAGCCAAAGGTCCATGAAAATTGGGCTGTATATATTAATTGGGTGGCCCCCTGATAAATGGGGTAGGTCTAAAGATTTGCACTTCTAAACAACTGTTCTTTA